GCGGCCCAGGCCACGCCCCTGCGGCCCAGGCCCCACCCTGCGGGTGTCTCTTATTCGGCAGTGTCAATAAAGTTGCAGCGGTTTGACTTTGCAGCGAACAACATGGCGACCTCCATGCTGGGCTCACTGCTGCGGACCGTTCGGCAGGTCAGGCCCGGGTCCTAATCCCCACTCTTCCCCCTTTCCCCCGAACCCCCCAAACCGCGGGCACCCCACTCCTCTGCCACCTGCAGAGCTCGGCGCGGACCCCTGCCAGGGGTCCCCCCTCCTCCGGCTCGATTCAGAGGAGGCCCGAGCTGATGTACGTTCGGCATCCATCACCGTGAAACTGACTAGCATTGAAAGCTGCAGCCTGACTTATGAGTGAGTGCAGGTGGACCAGGGAAGGGGTCCGAGGAGCGAGGCCCCAGGGACCCCGCGGTTAAGAGATGAGAGCCGAGCAAAGGAGACTTGAAAGGAGCTCAGCGAGGGAGGCGGAGAGCCGGCAGTGGGTGACCTGGAAGCGGGAGGTGACAATTTCAAGAAGCAGCGAGTAGGCAACTCAGGAAGTCACGGTTCAGTTCCCGGTCAGGGCACATGCCCGGGTTGCGTGTTCGGTCCCCAGTGTGGGGTGTGCAGGATCAATGATTCTCTCTCATTGTTGATGTTTCTCTCTCTCCCTTCCCCTCTGAAATAAAAAATATATTTTTAAAAACGAAGAAGGGCTGAGAACTGGCTGCCGGGTTAGCATGGTGGAGGTTGGTGGGGTGAAAGCCTTCAAGAGAGAATGGGAAAGAAAGCGGACACGGAGTAGAGACAAGTCTCTGAAGACATTTTGCTGCAAAGTGGGGCAGAAAAATGGGTCAGGAGCTAGGCAGTGATGGCGAACCTCTGACACGCGACACTCGAACTCATTTTTTTTTGGTTGATTTTTTTTTGTTAAATGGCATTTAAATATATAAAATAAATATCAAAAATATAAGTCTTTGTTTTACTATGGTTGCAAATATCAAAAAACTTCTATATGTGACACGGCACCAGAGTTAAGTTAGGGTTTTTCAAAATGCTGACACGCCGAGCTCAAAAGGTTCGCCATCATTGAGCTAGAGTGATGAGTTAAGAGCAGGTGTTGTGTGTGAGAGTGTTCTTAACATGACAGAAGTAAAAGTATTTTTTGTGGTAAAGGAAGAAATCCTGTAGAGTGGGGGGCGGGGGGGAGATGGAGAGGGGAAAATTGCCGGAGTTGTATGTACCTTGTGTAGGCAAGAGGTGATGGGTCTCATGAGTTCATCTTTAGTATCCTTGCTTAATAGAAACATAATGCCAACCACATACGTAATTCAAAATTTTCTAGTAGCACATTAAAAGATTTTTTAAAAGATTAAGTTAATTTTAATTTTTATCCCCCAGTCATGGGAGAAAAAAAGAGCTACAGGGGAAGCTATCAGAAGGAGTCAAGCTTCAGCTAGAGCAAAAATCTGAAGGGGTTGTTAAGAGAAGAAACTGAGGATTTAGATTTTGATGGTTGTAGGTGGAAGAGGGCCCAGTGGAAGAGTTTTAGGAGATGAAGAGGAATTTTAGGAGGTGAAGAGACAGAGGGGCAGGACAGGATGTGTACAGAACAGAATGAAGGCAATCTTAATATATAAAGCACTGGTATAGAATAAGAAAAAACAATATAATAGAAATATGGGCAAAGAACACAAAACATTCACAGAAGAAATAATATAGACCAATACATTTTTAAAGTGTATAGTTTTAAAAGTGTATTACTTTTATAATCAGAAAAAAAGTTATGTAAAGAATGAAAGTTTTTTAAAAAAAATAACTATAGGGTGTCCCCAAAACATATATACACACTTTGAATAATTATAAAGGCAGTGTTTATTAAAATACATTTCAATCAGAATTGAGCTATCAGCTTTTAAAGTGTGTTTTTTATGACACCCTGTAGAAACCTGTTAGGAAATGGTACAAAGTTGATTGTAAATAATTTAAGGGAAAAATGTTTCACCTTCCAACACACATTTTTGGCATTGTATTAACTGCCACTGTTTTGGTTTAATGTACATCCATAAAAGGTATTTATTTTGAATTAAGTCTATTTAAAATTACTTAAAAAATAGTTGATCATAAGTAGTGACTAAAAGAGACTGCAGGATGGGGACATGGCAGAGCCTGGGTCTGACTATTCCTCACTTATTCTTTATCTTTTTTAGATGGTTCCTTCATCAGCTTCAGGCCAAGTTCGAGGCTACTACGTAGACTGGAGAATGTTGCGTGATGTGAAGAGAAGGAAAATGGCCTATGAATATGCAGATGAGAGGCTACGGATTAATTCGCTTAGGAAGAATACCATTTTGCCAAAATACCTCCAGGTTAGCTAATTAAGATGAGTCCCTGACCACCCAAGATCATTAACTCAAATCAGACCACTTTTGATACTGTTTGTTGTGAGTTACTGTCAAAATAATTTCTGGAGAATATGATCAAATGCTCTCAGTCAACACAAATGAATACCCTCAAAACTGATTTTGGTGAGTTTCAGATTAAAAAGAATTATTCGTTCCTGACTACTAAGCCTTTAACCATTTCAGTAAGTGATGCTTAGAAAGACCTGGGGCATGCTAACCACACCAGAAATCGGGCAGTTATTTGACCTCGGAAGCCCCCCTCCCCGCCCCCTGCCTCATTCCAGTGTCCTGAGCTTTGCTGATGCATGGGGCTGTGTTCTTCACCCAGGGCCATTTCTAGCCTACCTGTCTGAACTCCTTTGCCCACCTCTGTGTGCTGAGGTGGCCTTCCAATTAGGTTTATTTTCTTATTAGACTCCTTGAGTAAGATGATGACAACCCTGTTTGGTATCCTGAAGCAGAAGGTCCTGCACCTACCTGGTGACATAGATAGAATATCTGCATTCAAGAGTAGCATCAGGGGGTATAACTCAAACTCAAGGCCACTCAACTTATCAAAAGCTCAGAGTAAAAATAAAATACATTTATAGAAGTTGGCAGAATATATAGGCCATTAATTACTACAGATTCTTTTAAATCTTGGCTAGATTAAGCCAGATGAACAGAAAACTGAGTGCGCTGGACACTCATTACGGGTTTTACTGTAACGGCATTTAGGTACTTGCCTATATTTAGGGAGTAACAAGGGGCCCTCTCAGCTCAGGATGTTGTGGAGGACATTATCTATGAAGACTCCCTGAAGAAATGTCTGGTATGAGCAACAATAATAGTGCCGAGATTCTCTTAATTATGAGACCTGATCATGGCCCTGTGCCTAGTAGCTTCCAAGTCAATATTTATGTCCCAGTTCTAACCAGATTACAGGCTTTCAGAGCACGTAGCTTTGTCTCATTTTCCCTTTGCCCCAATTTCCTCATTGTAAACTGCCTTAAATGTTTTTGGGAATGAGGAGAGGTAGGGAGTGTGTGTGTGTGTGTGTGTGTATGTACATATGTTCATACATAAATAAATAATTTGCAGCTATTCTTCAGTTTCTGCCTTATGAAACTTCATTCTTCCAATCTGATCATTTTTCTCTTCTCCAGTTCTTCCTATAGTACTTACTGTCTGTCATTTATTGACCTAATTGTGTTGTTTTATATAATTCTCTTAAGTATTTCATAATAGCAACACATGTATATGCTTTTGGAGATCAGGAACTATTAATGCTTAATAATTTATGTTAATTTAGTGGCTTTCATGTGCATTTTCTCATTTATGTTCTTTTAATACATTGGAGTAATTATTTTGCTTCCACCACAGTCTAGCACAGGGTCAGTCATACTTGCTACTGTAGTAATCTCTGTTTTTCTCCTCTCAACCACTTTTGCCCTAACCAGACTCACTCTCTACCTTGCAAATGATCTTTTAAATATGTAAATCTCATCTGATCACTCACCTTTGCTTTTCTATCAGTCAGAATCTTTACCACAGATGTCAAGGCTCTGGGGATCCTACCCTTACTCCCTCTCCAACCTCATCTCAACCATATTTGTTCCTAATTCAGCTTTAGTCCAGAAGTTTCATACTTTCAATGACTCAAAAGTCGCATGGGAAATAACCTAACTTTATACCCCAAGGAACTTAAAAAAAGAGTAAATTAAGCCCAAAATTAGCAGAAGAAAGGAAATAAAAAAGATAAAAGCAGAAATAATGAAATGGAGACCAGACAAACACTAAAGATCAGTGCAACTACTGAGCTGGTGATTTTTCTGGTCTGTTTCTACTTTGAGGTTAAGGCTCCCTACTATGTTCAGGGTTCTTTGGCCAAACTCTGGCCACATTAGTGAATCTAGCCTATTGTTTTCTTCCTCTAAGCATTGACTTCACCATGTCTTTGTAACAATGTTGTGACTTCCCTTAGGAAGTGGCTGATGAAGAAATTGCTGCCCTTCCCCGGGATAGCTGTCCTGTTAGAATCAGAAATCGGTGTGTTATGACGTCCCGTCCACGTGGTGTGAAGCGGCGTTGGAGGCTTAGTCGGATTGTCTTCCGTCACTTAGCTGACCATGGGCAGATGTCTGGGGTCCAGCGAGCAATGTGGTAAACTGCCTTAGCTCCAGAACCTACTGCGCTTGCAGGGAACCAGTTCTGACAAGACAACACTCTTCTAACAGACAAAAACCTAGTTTTAATAGGAGTCTAGTCTACCTGATGTCTAGTTAAATTACTTTTAAATTTTCAATGAAGAAACCTGGGTTTCATTCTGTCAGTGAATCATCTTTCCTGTTGGACTAAATGAAACATAAGTGTTCCCAAGCATGATGCAGAGTAATAAAAATATTTTCTGTGAAAATATGCTTTGTATGCTTGCCTTTTCCTTCAAATTTAATCTTCTAACAACAAAAAAGGGTTCCTGTATTTAAGGGCATTATCTCAGAAAGCAGGATTTATCTTATAGTTCATCCAAATCATTGACATGGAGCTAGCTCACCTATGGCAGGCAATCTGTAATGCTGGGCTGGCTTCCCTAACCTGCACAATTCACTGTTCTGTTAGTTCACTGTTAGAAAAACAGTATGTGGGAAGGTAGAGCTGATGTCTGGATTAGCTAATGCTCAATTTTTGTATGATGGCTGAAGCACTACAAAGCCCCTGAAAATCTATGCAAAGAGGAAAAGTTTTGTTGAAAGTATATATTCTCTATATTCGTATTTATTTCACCTGTAGCAAAAATGAGTAAAAGTAGCAGTAACAGTGTGGATCAGCCCAGTGATAACAACATGCAGAGCAGTATGGCAGCACTGACTTAATGTCGGGACAGTATTCCTAGAGCCGACACCTGCACTTACATCAGGAGGCCAGGGAGGTGATTCTTTGCAGACAGAACAGTGCAAGCAAAGGGCTAGACACATCAAACTGTGAAACTAGTCACTTCAGTGTATCAAACATGTAGTGCAAAACAAGGACCATACCATGGAAAATGTCATATATGGCAAAGAGTTAAGACTGAATTTAAATACCAGTTATTGGGGTTTTAAGCAAAGGAAAGACATCATCAGCTTGCTCTACTGCTGTGTGGTAGAGATAGTCATGAGAGGAAAAGGCTCCATACAAGATAACGGGTCAGGACAATGTCTTAATTGTTCAGGTAGACAAGTGCCTGAACTAAGTAGTGATATTAACAAAGGAGATGACAGGACAGATCTAAGTATTATTTAGGAAAGAAAATTGGGTAAGACTTAGAGACTGCTAATATTTAAGAAGTAAAAGGGCTCTCGGGGTTCCTGGTAAGGGTGACTAGATAGATGGTAGAAGGCAACTCCCAGATAGAAGATCTGGGGGAAAGAATGGGTTTAAGGGAAACAAGATCTCTAAGTTCAGGTCTCAGCCAGGCAGTTTGAGAGGCCTGTTTCATCCCGAAGTCTACTGTGCAGGTGGATAGCAGAGTCAAGAACTTGGTGGAGATGAAGTTATGAGAGGGAATTGTCAGTATACCTTGGATTCATGTTTCCTAAATTTATCTTCCAGTTTACAAACTGGAATGCTCTAGCAAATCCCAACTAGAAACTAGCATTAATCAAATTATAACTAGAACATCACATTTGCTGATCTCTGGCATTCACTGGTAAGACACGCCCCGACTTTTCCTTGTTTGGCTCAGGATTCAAGTGCAATCCAAATCTGGTTGCTCTGTCTCCTTTTTCTCCATGTCTTTCATTTGGAGGAGCCAGGTTATTTGTACTGTAGTGTCTAACATTGGGCTGTTGGCTTCTTCATGTGTCCTTTAACTTATTCCTGTCTTTCCTATAAACTGGTTGTTACATCTAAAGGCTTACTAGACACAGGTCCAATTTTTTAGAAATGAATTTTCACAAGTGTGTTGTGTACTCTATTACATCACATCAGAAGCACATACCTGGTTGTCCAACTTTTAGTGATAATTCATCAGGGGGCTCAGCCTGACCCCTACATTTAAAATTCATCATTTATTAACCTATCATCTATCACTAAGGATTGCAATGGTGATATTCTAAATACCATCACTTTTTCTGCATTAGCTGCAATTTGTCTGTAGGAACTTTCCCTTATCATCAATTTATTATTCTGAAATATTTTACTTACAATAAAGACCAGATAAATTCATAATTTTCTATCAATTTTCAGAGTAAATGAATTGATGCTCTAGCAACTTCCAAAGGTAACAATCTTTCACTATCCCAAACTTGTAGATTTTGTTTCAATCCACTCGACATTATTTTGAGACTTAAATTAATCCTTCCACTGCCCCTTATACTCCCACGATTGGGTCCTTTATCCTGTTGACTTGATATAGGATATATGATCTCCCCTCACTTTCTAGCATAAGATAACCCAAGCTTACCTTTATATTTCCTGCCTCAGACAATTTTTTAAAAATGTTATTAATTTCAGAGAGAGTAAGGGAAAAGGGGAGATAGAAACATCAATGATGAGAGAGAATCATTGATTGGCTGCCTCCTGCATGCCCACACTGGGGATCGAGCCCACAACATAGGCATGTGCCCTGACCGGGAATCAAACCGTGACCTCCTGGTTCATGGGTTGAAGCTCAACCACTGAGCCACACCAGCCGGGCACAGTTTTTTTGCGTCCCGGGTCCTATTAGTAGGAAATGGTGTGTACTTGGGGTGCTACTCATTACTAATGAATTCTGAATTGTCATTGCTGTAAGCTTTTAGGCTCTTTTGGTAAGACTTGCAAAGAAATGGATATTTTTTCAAGATAAAAATCATTTATATTGATTTTATACTTATAAAAACCTTAGCTCCTCATGATATCAGTCTAGTTTCACTATCTCACTAGTGATGGACAGTCAAAATACCATGTTCTAAAGTCATTTGAAAGTAACATGCATTTATAACCTGACATGCATTAGGTGTTTTTTCCCAAATTTTAGGGTTATTTTTTATTTAGCTTTTAAATTAAATTTTAGATGGTTCTAAAACCAAAACTAAAGAAAATGGTACATTCACATAAATACTGCTTCCATCTTGTCTCTCCTTTCTCATTATTTACCGTTTTTATTACTTTGGGCTTACTCTTCCAGTTTCTTTTTGAAATACAAGCAAATACATGTATGTGTGTGCATTCACATTTCCACCCACTCTAACACTAAGGCAGGTAAGTACTAGTACACCACAAACGGCGTTCTGCACTTTGCCTTTCCACTTACTGTATGCTGGTAATTATTCAATACACCAGTGTACAGAAATAATCTTCATTTCTTTTTGTGACTCTAAGTACTCCCCGTGTGAATGTACCATAGTTTATTCAGCTAGTCATCTATTAATTGACATTTGGGTGTTTCCAGTCTTTTGCACATATTCCAAATTCTGGCCAGTTGCCTTTGGGGAAAGAGCCTACAATTGTGAGCCAGATGATAAATGCACATGTAATTCTGGTAGAGATTACCAACTGTCCTTCTACACAAGTTTTAACCTCATCATTTTGATTCCATTCCCTTATATGAATTTTCCCATACCCTCAACAATCAGTATGCTCAACTTTGGGTTTTCCCAATAAAAGGTAAAAAAGTGTTTTTAAATTTCTCTTCCGAACAAGGTGGGCATCTTTTTATGTTGAAGTTCACTTGCATTTCTTTTTCTGTGAACAACAATTTCTTAATTTTGGAATCTTCTTGACACATCATGTATTTTTTATTGTGGGATTTTTTTTGGCTATGTAAACATTTACTATGTAGTTAAAATTAACCAATATTTAGCCTTATTACCGCTAGATTTTAAGTCACATAGTACAGGTTTCCCTCACTCTTAGGTAATAAAGGAGTTCTATCCTTGTCTTCTAGTACTCATATGGCTTCACATATATATTAGCTTTCATCTGTTTGCAATGTATGCATATAGTTATTTTTGGTTATCTCAATAAAAGCCCATCTCTGCCCCTTGTTGAAATGCTATTAGAGGCATACCTTGTAGATATTGCAGGTGAAGTTCCAGACCACTGAAATAAATTGAGTATCGCAATAAAGCGAGTTGTAATCTTTTTGCTGGTGGAGGGTCTTGCCTTCGATTTGTAAATAATGCAACACCTGTGAAGCGCAATAAAGTGAAGCTCAATACAACTTCTGCCTTGGGTCTTTTTCTATTCTGTTCCATTGGTCTGTTTATTCATGTGTCAACATCACAGCTTTAATTATAGTTTTACTAACATGTTCAGTAGTATTAACAACTAGCCTACATATAGGCTGTTTATTCATTTTAAATGCTACCTAATAAATTTTATTCTACCACTTATACCAAATTCTCTCATTATAGTAGTCTTGGCTAATCTCCTCTTGGATCTCCTCTATGTGTTTGTTTTCTCTTATTCCCCAGTTGCATTGGCAAAAACCTCCAATATAACATAGTTATGGAGATCATAGGTTTTTTGCTCTTCTTCTTGTTTTTAGGAGCAGCAATTCCCTCTAAAATAAACGATTTCTCCCCCAAAGCCTAACTTTTCCTGGATAAACAGATAGTAAAGATATTCCACTGAATAAAAACCTAACTTCACTGAAAATAGAAAAGATGGATTTTTACATTTGTTTTTAGCTTATGGTTATTGCTTTTTGTAAGCTATCTGATCCATGGCAAAATTTACTAATTGGTACTATACAAAGATATTTGTTTATTCTTGTCAAAATCAGATTTAGTTTCAATTTATTCATAAAAAACTGTATCTAAACCCAGAGAAAAACATTTGTGATTGGATCATTAGGACATTGTTATGCATGGTATATGTATTACTTAAGCTGCTAACAGAAAAGAAATTAATGTCTCTATAGCAACCTTGAAGCACAAATACAAATTTGCATTTTCTGAAAAAATTCAAGTTTTATTTACTTGTTCTTACATTGGTGAGAACTGATGTCAAGAACTTAACAAGCGGTAACATTTTTTTCCCTACCTCCTAGCTGAACAAAAATACACACAATATGGCATTTTCATTAGGCAAGACTTGCTTCTTTACATTTCACACGAGAATGCAAATATTAATCTTCCTTGAACAAAATGACCAGTTTACTAAGGAAACCATCTTTAGAGGAACTGTTTAATAAGCATATTTTATTTAAATAAATCCTCCAGCAGGAGAATTCATTGCCTTTACTTAGAAGAAGGCTCTGTAAAATTATCTGTTAAATGTATCTGCAGCTCACCAACATGTCCTTATTGGAAACATCATTATTTCCACATCACAATTCCCGAAAGAACTTTAAAGTCTCAGAATTCTGTCTCTCCTTTGGCTTGCTTCTCTCTTGATTGTACCCAGGCTTTATTAATGGTTCGCTTCATATCATCATCTCCATCTTCATAAAT